TTAATATAATATTTGATTGATAATTTTTATGAAAGCCCTTTCAGTTCTAATGACCTTGCGAGTAATAAGTTTGCGAATATTCCATCAATTTATGTATATTAAGTAAGTACCCCACTGTATAAATTTAGGCCCTAAGCATTTAACATAACAGCCAATCACCTATTAATTAATCATTCAATTTCTCAACTTTTTTGAAAACCTAAGCGAAGCTAGGCAGTATGCCTAGTATATATATATATATATATACTAGCCGTCCCGGCCAGGCCCTGCTCTGGCTTCTGTGAAAAACCTTTCTGTTAAAGACCATTACCTGTGTGTTTAGTAATCATCATAAACCCGGCATTGCCCACCCAAACCACAACCAACCAAAACAAGAAAACGCAAACATAACGCTAACATAATTACAAATACAAACGAAAACAAAAACCTAACAACAAACCCAACCACAAACACCAATACAGACACAAAGAAAAAACAAACAAAAAAGCAAACGAAAACAAAAACCTAACAACAAACCCAACCACAAACACCAATACCAACAAAAAAAAAAAACAACGAAAAAGCAAACGAAAACAAAACAAATCCAAACGCAAAACCAACCAAAAACACAAATACAAACCCAAACAAAAAAATACAAACAAAAACGAAAAAAGAAAGAACAAAAACGAACCAAATCAAAACGCAACCACTAACGCAAACCCACCTAAACACAAAGAAAACACTAACGCGAACATAAACGCCCGGGGCGGAATCACCTGTTTTAGCTTAATGAACGACTATAGTACCCCAACTTATTCATAGTCTTTTGCACTCACTTAAACGAACGCGCCTGTTTCAATTTGATGAACAATTTTAATACTCCAAGCTTATCCGTAAAATACCTACAACATTTGCACTTGATCAATCCCCGCTAATTATGTAATTATTTTTTTTTTCCCAACACCAAAACAAAGTAATTAAAAAGTAAATTATTTTCGACTAATGCAATGGTTTTATAAAGGGAAGTAATTTTGTTTTCCTAATTTATCGAAGGGAAGTAAGTGCTATAGGACTAAATAAAGACATAATTAGAATTTTTGTAAAAGATGATATTTTTTTAAAACTTGTGTTTAATGAACATGCCGACAATTATTACTATAATTTGAAAAATGAAAATTATTTCCCAACACTTTCAATAGTAATTTTTTAGCTCATAAATTTAGACAAATGCGCACGATAATTTTCTAACACTTAAATTCATACAATTCCAACGACAAACATGCATTATATACAGAACTGAGCTTTATACATTAGATTATATATCTATATATATATATATATATATATATATATATATATATATATATATATATACTCTTACATCTACAGAACCATTTCCTAGCCCTTATATCTTTTTTTTTTTTAATTTATTTTATGGGTATCTTGATAGATGATTGTATATGTTTAAACCAATTTTCCGAAACTCAAGTTTGAAACAACGCTCTTGACAAAATTCTTCCTGCACCCCTGTCCTTTTTCTTATTAAATTAGAAGCAATTATCCTCGTCGTAGAGGCATGGGTGCCAAATACTTCAGGCCATCAGTAAGATCTTGTCAAGATAAACCCCGCAAAAAAAAGTTAACACCCGCCACATTAAAATAAGTATAAAAAGGGGGATATGACATATTAATGTTATTGAAGTAAGTGGAATTGGGACATGTCAATAATTTGCATGAAAAGGTCTGTATTTCGTCACCTTTAACCCTAACCCCTAAAGTTGCTGTGTGCATTAATGTTGGAGCTGGCAAAAAGTCTCAGGGCTTAACTTTTCGCGCGTGCACTCTTTGCATTAGTGGCGGGGCTTATCTGGAGAAGAATCCATAAGTTCTCGAATAAAAACTAGGATCAAATTTCACTAAACTCCAATTTTTAAACAGAAATTTAAATATCCATAAATTAAGCTGCTAAATTACACCTTTTTTTTTAAATCTTTATAATGCGTTGTGTTTCGTTCGTTTCATACAGATTGCCTTACAGAAAACAAAAGCTCGAAGCAAACATTTTATCTTAGCGAAAGGTCAAGAGTTGAGATTGTTGTATCGTATACGTTCCCCCACAGCTGCGTAGGGTCTTGTTATTCACTGAAACGTTTAATTCCACGTCTGCTTCTGTCACAGCTCCATTTGTTAGACGGGTTAATCTTTCAACTAGGCTGGGCATAGACACTCTAAGACTTGATAACAGAATAGATTTTTTTTAAAACTCGCATAACATTCTTTTTAAATGCAGTAGAGCTTAAAAGGGAAAAACTTCTTAAGGGGGAAGGCTCTGGAAAAAAACACTTTTTAACCGGAAGTGGTACTTTTTCTACTTTGAATTTTTCAAAAGCCTATAACTTGAGTACTATTTCAGATAGATAAATGAAATTTAACATGTAAGTAAAAGATCTAATTCTCTACCTTCTATCAAATTTTGAGTAATTTCCGTTGACCGGAATTACTAATTTACGCTATTTCCGATTTCTCAAAAAACGCATGTAAATTTAAAAAGTACTAATAATATTGCGCACTATTATGCACATTTTGTTTTGGCGTTCGCTTTGTGCGCAATTCTTTTTTCTACGAGATTCTATTCTATTTTTAAAAGTTTAAGTAATTAAAAATCATGTCTATATTCCGAGTTATATAAGAATATTAGAGAAAGTTTAGGGGAGATCACTCCCGGTTTATTTATTTATTAAATTCGAGGTTAAATGTACTGTATGAAGTCGATACATGGTGCAGTGGCGTCGTTAGGTCGGTCGGGTGTCACCCGGTGCGGCACCTTGTGGTGTCAACCCCCCCCCCCCCCCATAAAGGTGTCATTCAGTGTTGTCCGAACCAGTGTTTCTTCTAGGCATCTCTTCGGGGGCGGGGGGGGGGGGGGGCCGGCTTCCTCCCCCTCCCAGAAAAAAGTCTACCCCCCTCCCCGAACGAAATGGAATTTATATACCCCCCCCCCCCCCGCCCCCCGTTAATATCAGCTCAGCTAATTGTTCACTATCACACGTTAGGCCTATTTAACTTTTGAAAAGTGTACATTGTAACGATTAAATTTAAATGTTATTGCAATGACTAATTAAATATCTAGATTTATATCCAGATATTGATTACGATAAGTTTATAAGTAAACTTATAAATTGATCTAAAATGAGTTACAAAAAAAAGCCCAACTTTCAATTTCAAATTATTTGGTGTCTTCGGAAATAGTTAACGAGGCTATGATATTCTAACTTCTGCACTAGGTATACTGTGAATATGATACAAGCCACTCCACCCCTCTACCTTTGTTACTACATCCACTCTACCGTGTATGGTAACATGACATAATGTCAGAAGTTAACTTCAGAGCCGTCTGCTAATTCTTCAGTAACCCAAAGAACACGGTGGGAATGCCGGCTGATATTGTGAGGCTTTTTTTTCCTAAGACAACAACCATTCTAATAGACATACATTTTTATTTTCAATTGTGGTCGATATGTTTCGCCCCCCCCCCACCCCACCAAAAATATGTCATACGATCAAACAAAATTGATACCACTAAAATCCAGCTTTCTGAACACTCGATCAGAACATATTTTTCTTGCTCATGTTTTAAAATTATAAACTACTGTTTGTCTGAACAACCCCCACCTTAATCTATAATATATGCTTGTACCGACATTTATAGCTTATATATATATATATATATATATATATATATATATATATATATATATATATATATATATATATATATATATATATATATATATATATATATATATATATATATATATCAGGGGCGTAGCGAGGGGGGGGGCGGGGGGTGCGGACCGCACCGGGTGACACCATTTAGGGGGGTGACACCAAGCCAAAAAAATAGCAAAATATATAGAGAAAAACTCGAGGGGGGGGTGCAAATCGAAAGTTTGAGGGGGGGGGGGGTGCAAATCGAAAACTCGAGGGGGGGGGTGCAAATCGAAAGTTTGAGGGGGGGGGGTGCAAATCGAAAATTTGAAAGTTTGTCCCTGGGAAGGGTCTCTATGCCTCTGGGGGGGTGACACCATTAAGTGCCGCACCGGGTGACACCCGACCTCGCTACGCCACTGATATATATATATATATATGGCACTAAATAACATCACTCACTTTTCAATGGTTTTTCAAAGAATGCCTATCCGGTGAATTTGCACTGGTTAGAATTGCTTATGGTTATTTTGATGTCCATAAATATTTTTTCCTCGACTTATCAGCCGTTGCCGGCTTGGCGTTTAAGATTCAAATTAAGATAATACAAGTAATAGCTAGTCAACAGAACTCTCTGGCCAATTGAGGCTTCGACAACCCACGAGGGAAGACACATTTCAAAATCACGAACGCTGTTAGGGGTATCTAAAATATTTATGTTGATATCATACGTGTGCTGCTTTTTAAAAAAAAAAAAAAAAACCTTTTTTTACTTTTTTTTCAAGAAGCGAACAAACGTATAGTTGGGTGTTTAAAAATAATGTTCTAATAGGCGTGAGAACAAGATAGCACCACCCCCGCTCGCTGCATTCTTTCGCGATGTGTTGAAGGCTACAACTCGAGGTCACACCCGCTGGTGATAAATAAATAGGTCTATGAATTAAATGGTTAACAGCTATAGTAAAATAATAAATGGAATGCGCTAATTCTGGTTCCGATTTGGTGTATAACGATTTAATTTATTATACCTCTTTAAGAATAAATTATTTTTACGCTGATTCCGTTAAGATAACTGCGAAAAATAAATCTGAGGTTTAAAATGGGTTCATGTTAGAACATAAATCTTTTCTAGTCTAGCAGTTAAAAATAGTTCTGACCCACCTGAGAGGATATAGGGTAAATGATGCAAGAAAATAAATCAGCTATTCTAGTAGTTAAAAATATTTCTGATCGACTTGGAAAGATATTGGGTGAATGATATTAGGCAATAAATCTTAGGCTAGTCTAGTAGTTAAAAATAAATTTTGACCCACCTGGTAGGAGATTGGGTATATGATGACCATGTCGTACTTGATGCTTTGAAAATCAACCAACATTTCTTCTCGTCTGCAAAAGTTTCGCTTCTTCTTGCTCCTCCTGTAGCGCGGATGGACCCTCCCGTCCAGACCCTGAAATAAACTGTCCAGATGTCTTCTATATCGCTTTTTTGTCTCCCTTCTGACATTTCGAACTTTCAGTTCATCGATATTCTCGTCATCCGCGTCATCGTTTGAACTTGGTAATTTCGAGGTGAAGGACTCGCCACTGACAAATTGTCTGGCCTTGACATTGTCACTGGGACGTTCACTGCCATCATCAGCCATCAAAGGGTCTGAGCCGAACCCCGAAGAATCCGCCAGATTCTGGAGACTCTGGAGTTTCTTTTTTCTAGACGCGAGCTCTGTTAGAAGCTCCTGGTTTTGGAATGTTAAATTTAAAATACTGAACTCATCGGTGGTCATGTCGTCAAACTCTTCCAAATCGTGGAAAAGTTGATTTTCGTTGTCGCTGATATCATCTTCCGCGGCCTCCGGCGATGAAAGTCCATCGTCGTATGTTTGCATCGAGGCGACAGCGTTCAGCAGACCTTGGAAGTAGAGGCTCGCATTTGTGGCGGCGCTTGTGACGTTTGGATTCTGGAGAAACACAACCTCTTCTAAAGGTCCTCGCTGTTCATTGCTCGCATCTCTTTTTTCTAGTGAATGGTGAGCAGACTTTCGTCTGCTGTGTTTCTTGGAAAACACAACCAGCAAGGGTTCTTTGCCGTCAACGTTTTCAAGGAAGACTTCTGCCACGTTATTGTCACTTGCATTAACATTGTCAATTGTCACTTCCAAAACTCTGGGACCAGACACACGCCACGCCTGAACAGCTGAGGTTATGTTAAAACTTTCCCAAGTGGCGTTTGTGTTACTAATGTTTTTCGTTGTTATTAGTTGTACCCTGGGACTGCCCTCGACAAGAACTTCCGAGATGCTGACTTGATTGTGGCCGTGTGCTGTGACCTGATCCTTGCTCGAGTTATTGTTCCTTACAACGAAAAACAAACGTAGCTCGGCGTACTGGATGACCTGCTCACTAACGTCAAGGGACACGTTGAAGACGAGGCTCTGTTTGTATGGTGCCTCTTGGACAGAATCTTCACCTGAAAAAATAAGGAAATTTCAAATTTAATAAACCTTTTTCACAAAAAAACAAACAAAGGAATCTATGACGTAAAAATGTAAGTTTTGGCCAATTAATTTGATTACAAATGATTAAAACTAATCAATTACGACCAACCCAACACCCGTCGAAGTTAGTACTCAAAGACAATACTTACTTGCAGGTGTTTTGTGTATTTTTTTTAAATTAATTTTTTATTTTTAAAAAGCACATTTTTATTGACTTCGAAATTTAAAAAGTTTTTTTGTATGTAACTTTTGATGAAGTTGCAATATTTATGATTCGACAGTTGCAGAGCGTCATCGGCTCTTTTGTAATAGCCAACAATATTAACTGCCCACAAATAACTAGGCTGCAAGAGTTTACTCGCATTGCTGCAAATGTGTGCTTTAACTCTCCACAATTTGCTAAATCCCCAGCGGATTCATCTTCAAGATTTCCATCAACACCTGCACTGCCATTAGCATTAATTATTAACTCGCTTAACAAGTTCGGTTTGTCTAAAATCATAATAAAGTGATTTTTTTTACATAATTGTTGAAAATGCAGCTTGAAATACAAATCTATATTGAGCGTTTGACGCAAGCAGTGACAGCCATTTTGACAGCACGTTTGAACTTCAGCGATACGCCCAACATACCGCGAGCTGGCTAAAATTGTATGCCAGCGCCACCTGCACACTAAACAGCTCAAGCCGACGATAAGATGACACCCTACTCCCGTTGATGATGTACAGCTAATGTGTTTTACTTTTAGATGCCTCGCAAATTTATTGTGCACTCGGCTTAATGTGTGGACCTCGCGATATTTTATTTCATGAACCCCGGGTTGCGTCATGATGTAGGGGGGAGTTGAAAAATTACAACGGAGTTGTGATTTAGTTGCAAGAGCAACGGACCGAGTGCTGATGTAGTTAGAAGAACAACTAGTGTAAAAGAATATTCCTAGGATTCGCTGAAAAGAGGGGGGGGGGCATAAATGGAAGTTCTCAAAACACTTTTCTTACAAAATAAAATCACAAAAACAAAATGGGTTTTAATGAAGTCACAAGAGCAAAAAAAAAAGTATAAGCAAGACCTAATCTATATTAATAAAGCGTAAAAAGGGCCAATAACAACCGCGAAAAAATATATATTTAAATTAAATTATTTAGTGGATTCTTAAGTTCAAATGAAACAAGTGAACTCTACTTCACTTGCCTCATAGACCGTCAGGTTTGAAAGGGAAACTTTTTAAGTTCAAATACAATTAATGCTTCATTTAGGCTATTTTTCCTCAGCTGCGGTTTTGAAATAGACATCCTTCATGACTAAAAAAAAAAGTTTTTTTCTGTAATCTACACATTTTAATGACCAATTTTACAATGAAAATTAGATATTCAAAAGCTCTGGGGGTACACTAATCTGCAAAAGTTTAGGGTTCTAATTTGAGTTAAAAACTGTGATCACACAATTCCCCTCCCACACGCAATGGACATTGTGACCTGCTTCAAAAAAAATTCCAAAAAATAAATAAGTGATTGAGCGAGTTATTCAGCATCAGTTAGTTGAATTCTGGTAGAATTTTAGGAGCAGTGATTGTTGGCGCAAGGTCTCGCATTTTCTCTAACATCTCCTATGTCCAGTCCTATACCACGCAAGCTGCCACCAACTACACAAACTTTTAGAGAAATCTTTAGCCGAATGCTACGTCCAAACTATACCTTTTTTATTTAAATTCACTTTGTGGTGCTACCGAATAGACTTAAGTATACTGAATTATGTGTTTTGATAAGGGAGTCTTACAGCGACAGGCGCTAGTAAATAGAATTTTAAGGATACCCTTAAAAACTTGCTAGACGCTGAGCAAAAACTGGAAAAACTAAAAACCGTAGTTTGACCAACTCCCACACTGTTTCAGCTTAACGAATTAAAAATAACCATGCCTACTTAATGTTTAGCTATTTAGAAAGCACAGATGAAATTGAATTAAAAATAATTTTCGCATGTTGAGGAAACTTCTCAAAAATATTTTTAAGACCGGATGAGGAAGTAATAAAAACTATTGCTTAAAAAATGGGGAAAAAAATTAAGCTCATGGGATATCTTTTGCGAGGGATAATTTTTTTTTCTAAAACTAAAATGACGACATATCAGTTGTGGTGTCATCCAATTTTCCACAAAATCTGAAGTTAATGGCCAGTTTATTTATGGCTGCGGACAAAGATATCTCTTGCTGAATTCAACACAACTTGACAGTTTCACCGAGCTGAAATGCGCATCCGTATTGCGCACGTGGTTTTTTCTTCAGTTTTTCTATTCTCTCTTAGAAACTTGAAGTGTGGCTTTATGTGATATTTGACGTTCATTAATGTTGTTTTTGGAAAATAAAAAGTTTATACGATTATTTTATGTTTAAACGGCGAAAGTTCTATACAAAAATGTTTGTCAGTTGTTTTTTTTTTTTTTTTTTTTGTTGTTGTTGTTCTTTAAATTTACATGCGCTACTGAATTTTTAAGCAGTTGATAGTAAAAACTTTAAGAAGTAAGAATAGTTGCCTTAAAATATTTGTTATTATCCCAACATAATTCGACTGCTAACCTGAACGTCTCTTGTCCGTTGGGCGTCTCTGAGTCCACCCAGCTTTATTGGGTACCTGACTCAAGTTATGAAAAATAAAATTTAAATGCGGCCGCACTATCACGTCAAATACAGAGGTCACAGAAAAAAGTGAACTCTACTTCACCTGTTTTAAGGACGGTCAGGTTGTAAAGAGTATTTTTTAAATTATAAATAATTCGTGGCTTTTTATACAAACCAGTTGACACTTTGAAAATCAACCCAAACAGTTGCTTTATCGATGAGAAAACTTACCGCCATCGTGAATGTTGACAAAGCTCAAGACGACTGTATCCTGCAGAAGTTGGTAGTTGGTCCCCTCCAAAAGCTGATACAGGTGCAGCATATATTCCGGCGGTACTGCCGATGGTGAGCGTAGTTTATATCCCATCCACAGTTTTGTTTCATTATTCGATCTTCTGATTCTGCTTCTAGTTTTTAACTCACGATGATTTTCTACTTTCTCTTTGTCATTATTTGTCTCAAAAGGTTTCAATAATTTGTTTAATTTACTAATACTTTCTCTGCTTTTCGGAATGCTCGTACCATGAACTGAATTAAAATGTAAAGTATTGCTATCCAAAGTCTGACTAATTGGTATAGCGTCCCACGTGAAATTAGTAGAATAATCTCTAACACTCTGTTGGCCTGATGGACGTGACATAGAAATGTTGACAAAAATTAGAGGCGGCAAAAGTACACGAAATACGAATAGAACATTCCTCATTATGATTTAGACATCCTATTTTTAATCGCCCGTCCTAAAATTGTGTAAACAATTCTCTTGAAGTGGACATTCCGTCTTCATCTCATAGTGTAGTTCTACTCAACTTTTTTCTCTTTATATAGCGTCCGGTAAACATAATTCACATATTTTTTTATATTAAATCACCACACCATAAATGATATTGAATTTAAGTGAAAAGTAGAACCGACCTCCGGGAAACGAATCAAAATATATTCTGTTCATTTTCTGCCGAGAACCACGTGAAGAATGATAAGTGACGTCAGGGGGTTCTGCCGTACCGGGGGAGAAGCTGATAACTTCTGGAGGCCGGGGATCGAATTCAGCCCACCCCCACCCCTGCCTGCGAGATTACGGGGCTCAGTAAATCGTCCGTTATGTGAGCGATGCCCGGGGCTACGTGAGCGGCTAACTACAAGGGAACGAGTGCAAATGTATTTTCATAATTTAGTCTCACTCCTGCAGACAGGTGTGTGTGGGGTGGGGGGGGGGGGATTACATACAGGTCGGACGTGTATAATCATGGAGGTAATTCTCTATTTGTCACACAAGACGATCTCACTATTAGTGACAGGTCTCACTATGTGACTCAGATGGTATTATTGACTCAACGATGGTCTCGCTGTCTTAGATGGTATCACTGTCTTAAATGGTCTCACCATTGGACTCACATGGTCTCACTATTGGACTCAAATGGTCTCATGTTTGAATGGGATTGGGATAGTCTCATTATTTAACTCAGAAAATTTTCAATGTTTTACTTAGAAGGTTTCACCATTTGACATAGCGATGGTCTCACTAGCAGAGTTTCTTACGAGTGTCTCCCACCCCCCTCCGGAAAATTTAGACCGCCTTCCCCGAAAATATCAAGTGCCCCCCCCCCCCCTCCCGGAGAAAAATTTCTGAAAGTCAACTTCTAGCAGACACTGAAAGAACACCTTGTCTTATTCAAAAATTATAAAATAGCAGCGAATTTCAAACAAGTTTTACAATAATGTCATCTATGTTTCTTTGATTTTCTTTTACAAAAGATTTCACACTTCGGCTCCTTATTTAGCTTACTATCTCTACATAATGTATTTATCTCGTCTATATATAGCTTAACAGTTCCACATAATTTATCTAAAACACGGCCATTTATTTAACATAACATCTCTGCTTAAATTATTGTGAATATATTTCTTCACTCCGATCTTTCAACCATTAAGTTATCCGTGATGCTTATAAAACATTTGTTATCTCTCATTTAGACCGAAAACTGGAGGTAAGCATTTAAAATGAACTAGAATACCCGTCATCCGTTGGATAACTGTGGGTTTCGGGGGTCATCCATCAAAAAACATCACGTCTGTCACTCAGAGGCATAGCGACCCTTCCCGGCGCCCGGGGACAAAGTTTTCGATTTGAACCCCCCCCCTCAAACTTTTGATGTGCACCCCCCCCCACTCAAACTTTCGATTTGAACCCCCCTCAACCTATCAATTTATTTTTCCAAACCATTTTGGCGCCCCAACATATGCCCCCCCCTTCCCCCTCCCCACCCCCCGCCTCCCCTTCCCCCCCCCCCACCCCCCGCCTCCCCTCCCCTCCCCACCCCCCGCCTCCCCTCCCCTCCCCTCCCCACCCCCCCGCCTCCCCTCCCCTACCGTTCCCCCCCCTCCTCGGTACGCTACTGCAGTGTCACTTATCGTCACAAAAAACAGACCACACATTCAAATATATGTTTTTTATCTTTTAAAAACACCGAAAACACCGATTTCGGACTATCCCTTCATAAACTGACGTCACAGGTGACCTACTCAACTCTACTTCACCTGCCCAGTGTCCTGCCAAGTCTCAGACAACATGTTTTTATCGTTTAAAAAACAATTCCAGCCGAGCATGTATCTGACCACACTATCCTTTCATATGCTTAGGACAAAGAAACAGATGAACTCTACTTCACCTGCCCTGTATCTTGCCAAGTTCAGATAGGCAACGTTATCATTCACATCTAAAAAAAAAAATTGAAAAAAAAAATTTCATTGACATATTGGTCTAGAACCCGTGCCTCCTGCGTGAGAGCTGACTACGCTACCATTTTAGCTATTTACTCGTGACGTCACAAGTGAATTTTTATACTATACTATGTATCTCCTTATGCAACTTGATTTACGGCGTATAGATTCTAGATCTAGATCTAAAAATAAGTCTAGTAGTACTAACTTTCAAATTAAATTTTATCTTAAATAAGCCAAACAAAGATTTATATAAAATAATTAAGGCCTGAAATAGATTCTAGATGTAGAATTTACATTAAGTCTAGATCTAGAATTTACATAGAAACCTAGTGACCTACATCTAGGCTAGATCTAGATCTAGATCTAGGCTAGATTCATAAATTTCCTTCGATAGCTGATCTTTAGATCTAGAGAAATTTATTGTAAAACTAAATGAAAAAGACAGTTGAACATTGATATAAGTGTTGGAACGTAATAAATACAGAAAACGGACGTATTGTTAAAGTTATGACCGACAGAAAATTAGATTTAGAACGCGTTAAACTTGTGAATGGGAACACAATTTTCTTCGATAGACGCCGCCATTTTATTGTACTAAAGAGTAAACAAAAACCTGTGACGTCACGGTCCCGCCGAGTCTAGTGGCTTTTCAAATATTTTTTAAAAAAATGGGTTAATCTGCATATGAATAAATCAATTAATTAATTAACGTCTTTAAATAAATTTGTGATCAACAGTCTGTCTGCATTAAAAAATTATTCTCTACCTGCATACCATTTTACAGCTTTCCAGATAGAGTCGAACATATCACAATTTTCGATCAGGCAAACAAATAAATATTCAAACATGTAAACAAACTTGACTTTTAGTAGTATATAGATTGCTTCATTCAAGTTCTGTCTATTTAAAATTCAAATATTTCTTTCTAAATTTAACAGAAAGATTTTTTAGTCGATAGCAAAGTTTAAAATTTATTATTTTTAAATGTTGTACGAGCAACCGAAATACATAAATAAGTTGAAAAAAGAAATGGGTTAAATATTCGTTCTTTTTTTTTTTAACGCAATACAAGGCATCAAGTTTCTATTGAAAATTATCGATCTGATTTTCTGTAAAACTTTTATTCTCCAGGCGATTGGGAGATGGGGGGGGGGGGGGGGGGCAAAAACCAGTAAAAGTATGTATTTTCTCTATAAATTCTATTTCGTTCGGGGGGGGGGGAGTTCTGGTATTTTATATTATTATGAGGTGTGTGTTTTAGTTGGGGTAGAGTAGGAAAAAATGTAAAAAATGTGTTTTATCTATACTATATGCACAATCCCTTGCTTCGTATCAGGCAGTAGAAAACGGAAGTACATTATCAATTATTTGATAGTCCGCAAAAGCGAAGGCAGAGGTCTATTGTTAAAACAATTGTTCGCGTGGTGACTATTCGAGGAATTCATGCACTGTCACTGTGCCATTTCATAGAAGCAGAAGACACAATGCTAAACAAAGGTTTACGTCACTTTTGTGGAGGGGGGGAGGGGGTGTGACATTACAATAGACGGGCATGATCGTCGTGGTAGGAATGTGACGACCGGTCTCACAATACACCGGATGTTTGTGTCACGGTGTAAGTGCAACAATTCGTCACATTTAAAAGATCCTAGTCTCGCTTGAGCAGGGTGAAGTTTTATTTCGCCCATGTTCACATTGTTGTGTTTTGTTCATATAAACGTAAAAAAAAAAATAATTTTATAGCAAAGTGGATATCAGTCCACACATTTGCAGATAGAAAGTTTTAAAATAGCCTTCACAAATTTAAACGTCTAAATATGTCTGGCATTGTCATACGTCTACCATTTTAAAGTCGGGTGGGTCAAACTCTGTGGTCTCAAAATGTGGGCCCGCAGACTCTGTGGTCTCAAAATGTGGGCTGGATGTGTTTTTCGCTGTATTTTTGTTTGTTACTATTTTAGGTAAATAAACGATATTTGAAACAAGAATTGGAAATAAGCTTGAGACAACTTGTTTTTTTTCGTCTCCATACGGTGACGTAATTTCAATTAAACAAACTAGCCCAAACTAGGACTTGCTCATGTCCGATGCTGTATATTAACATGTAGCAAGGGTGTGTGGTATCAAATCTACGGCGGTTTTGTGTAAAGCTCAGGCAGGCAAAGTTACTATTCGAATGGTAATACGACTATAGTCCCAGTGTTGTTGTGATATTAATTATTATTTTTTTAAGTTTTTTTTTTATATTTTAATTTTAAATATTTTAATATTTTTTAAAAGTGTAAATGTAAAAAGAACCCCGTGTTTTATAATTAATGTAAGCTACAGTGGTCGGGTCCCTAATACAAAACACGGTCAATGTAATTAGGAATTACAAAAAACCGCGCCAGAAAACTATTTTTATCCTGTGTAGCATAGCGGACCGTCCAGCGATGAGCCATTCATTATCAGCAAATGAGGGGTGGCGTCGTTCCACTAACGACGTGCTCTGAGATAACTGGACTGGGATATTAGTTATCAGAACATCCCCGCTGTCTGATTTATTGCTTTACAAGGTGGGGCGGGGGTTAAACCGTGACTACAGTCCCAGAAATTTTCTTCGGCGAATTATTTAAATAGTTTACCGACATCACATTAGCCTATATAGATCTGCATCGCTATCCCAGAACCAAATTGTTCGAACTCGAAAAATGTTCACAAGGCTTTAAAGTTTTGTTTTCCTTAACATTTTTACTTTAAACACTTTGTGAATAAATTGTTGGTAAGATGTATGGCCACAAATATTTTTACCATGGGGGAATTTCTAACATATTGGTTAATTAATCTCGTTTAAAAACAGCGAAAGAAGGCATTAGAATTGTCTTGTTCTAGGTGTATGTGTGTGTATATATATATATATATATATATATATATATATATATATATATATATATATATATATATATATATATATATATATATATATATATATATGCATTAGAATCTATCACTTTGTAAACAAAATGTAATCAAGTGTAATTTGCACAGTTCAGTGGCGATGCTAGGTCGGGTGTCACCCGGCGCGGCACCTAGAGGTGAACCTTAGTGTCCATCCCCTCCCCCACCCCCCTTGATAGGTCTAAACTTTGCACGGATAATAGTAACGATGTTTATCTATAGTCGGTTATTAATAAAGCTTGATGTAACATTGTTTTCTCTATAGTTAGTTTGCAAGTTTACGTCATTGTCGGGATTTGTTGCTCTTAAAAACAATTGATTAATCATTTTTTTTTTGCCTTGGTGTCACCCCACCCGCTAAATAGTGTCGTCCGGTGCGGTCCGCACCCCCCGCCCCGCCCTCACTACGCCTTTGGTACAGTTCGTGATCTCGAGATAGAAATGGCATCCTCTAATTAGTGCAGTTTTATCTCAACGCACAAAAATACCAAACCTAGAAAACACTCATACAATAGATATTCGGGGAAAGACGGTAGAACCCACATCTCCTTACCTCCCCCTCCCTTTCTCTCGCTCTCCCCCCCCCCCCCCCCCCACACACCCAACACCCCTTCCCACCCCCCCCCCCACCCCCCACCCCCATCTCTCGCTCCCACAGCGCTCCTAAAAATACTTCGACTTGCTAAAAAAAGAACTGTCCTGATGTCAGATATGTCTTCTCACCCTGTAAATTTGTGACACAATTTCCCGCCCACTGCAACAGTGTAGGTGGAGCGCATGCGCGGGCGGAAGTCAAAATCTGACGTCATGCTTTTTTTGATGGGCTCCACCTGTGTTGGAAGAAATTTTCTCATGGATTGGTTTTATAAGGTCAACTGGACATTGAATAGGACAGTTGGGGAGTCAAATAAGGTCAAATGGACATTGAACAGGACAGTTGGGCATTCAGTAGGATAGTTGGACAGTCTAATAAGGTCAAATGGACATTGAATAGGACAGTTGGGCATTCAGTAGGATAGTTGGACATTGATAAGAACACCGATTATTGATACAAATAAGTGGACTAGAACTACTGGACATTAAAAAGGACAATTGGGCAGTTTAATAAGGACAAACGGACATTAATAAGGACACCGGCAATTGTTAAGAGCAACTGTTTCGAACTCGAGACTTTTCGGTTTAGCAACCAATATTGTTTGCATTAAATCACGATATTCAATTTTTACATTTAAAAATTAAATCCCTAAAAACCAGTGCATGATTCCCCTATCATTATAATGTTAAATTATTGCAAGTTTGCCATTTACAAAAGCTAGATTACCTTTTTCATTTCGTTTTTACTACTGTAAATTGAAAAGTACATATCTAAGAAATGTAATTGTATGTGTTAAGTTAAAATTTAAAAAAAAAAAAAAAAAAAAAAAAATCTACGTAAATTGTTTTGGTATAATTAAATAGTTTGATATGATCAAACTTTTTCAACGACTTAAAAAAAAAACTGGGTGGGTGTGGCGATAGACGAGACAAGGTCAACATTACTTACCCGCCCATTCATACATCAGTGCTGGTATAAACATATTTCTTCCCATCATTATCAGAAGTCACAAGAATGCTATTTACCTCACAAGTTGCATTCATAACAAATCTGGAAAGCGAGTTGCGCAGCTTGCGCCGTGACCTTTGTTGCCATGGTAATCATGGCTGTACCTTGAACCTAAATTCCTTGTTTCCGGTTGACCATTGCTAATTAAGGCCGTGTCGCTTAAGGCTCTACCACAGCACACCTGATCTACGCATGTCGCCGTGCGCATCTTTGTTTTAACCTCAAGAGGATTTAGATTCCAAGCCTATTTTAATTTTTGGATCTCGTTTATTATCTTACAGAGGAGCAATGTGCTGAAATATAAGGTAAGTGTCTATAAATAATAAAGTACTTAATATTTAGAAAGAGATGCCTAAATGTTGATGAGAATAATAATTGGGTCTTGTAAAATTAACCTATATTTTAAAATTACGATTTCAATGGTCCGCAAGCCTAGGAAGACTGTCCGCGAGAGAGCCTTAATTTCGCGCCAAATTTTCTGTGATTCTTACATTATTAAAATATCGCATTACTTGATAACGGCTCTCCGATATCTATGATATATTACTATTAGTAATAGCGAGTTGCGCAGCTTGCGCCGTGACCTTTGTTGCCATGGTAATCATGGCTGTACCTTGAACCTAAATTCCTTGTTTCCGGTTGACCATTGCTAATTAAGGCCGTGTCGCTTAAGGCTCTACCACAGCACACCTGATCTACGCATGTCGCCGTGCGCATCTTTGTTTTAACCTCAAGAGGATTTAGATTCCAAGCCTATTTTAATTTTTGGATCTCGTTTATTATCTTACAGAGGAGCAATGTGCTGAAATATAAGGTAAGTGTCTATAAATAATAAAGTACTTAATATTTAGAAAGAGATGCCTAAATGTTGATGAGAATAATAATTGGGTCTTGTAAAATTAACCTATATTTTAAAATTACGATTTCAATGGTCCGCAAGCCTAGGAAGACTGTCCGCGAGAGAGCCTTAATTTCGCGCCAAATTTTCTGTGATTCTTACATTATTAAAATATCGCATTACTTGATAACGGCTCTCCGATATCTATGATATATTACTATTAGTAATAGCGAGTTGCGCAGCTTGCGCCGTGACCTTTGTTGCCATGGTAATCATGGCTGTACCTTGAACCTAAATTCCTTGTTTCCGGTTGACCATTGCTAATTAAGGCCGTGTCGCTTAAGGCTCTACCACAGCACACCTGATCTACGCATGTCGCCGTGCGCATCTGTGTTTTAACCTCAAGAGGATTTAGATTCCAAGCCTATTTTAATTTTTGGATCTCGTTTATTATCTTACAGAGGAGCAATGTGCTGAAATATAAGGTAAGTGTCTATAAATAATAAAGTACTTAATATTTAGAAAGAGATGCCTAAATGTTGATGAGAATAATAATTGGGTCTTGTAAAATTAACCTATATTTTAAAATTACGATTTCAATGGTCCGCAAGCCTAGGAAGACTGTCCGCGAGAGAGCCTTAATTTCGCGCCAAATTTTCTGTGATTCTTACATTATTAAAATATCGCATTACTTGATAACGGCTCTCCGATATCTATGATATATTACTATTACTAGGCCAAATATTAATAATTTAGATTAAGTAGCCTACATTTACTAAGTTATTACGGTTGATTACTTAGGACAATTAGGTCTAGACTCTACATTAATTTAATTTTTAGATTTTTACACAAGTAGACTTAAATTTTGATCTAGATTTCTAGATCTAGAACTAGATCTAGACTCAGTAAATAGGCCTAGATCTAGATCTAGATGATATTAAGAGATAGCCTAATAGATTTTGGATTTAGAAAAACAAATCCAGATTACTAGATCTAGCTCTATTGATCTATAGTAACTAAAACTAGATCTAGATCAGACTATATACTACTAGATAGATCTAGTAGAAAATAATCTACTGAATCTAGCTTTAGGCCTAGCTAGTTCTGGACTCTAGTTTAATTCTAGATCTAATTGAATCTAATAGGGCCAACACTGAGATTCTAGTAAGAAATAGGTGCTAGTTCATTTAGATATAGATTCTAGATCTAGAATCTAGATCTAGATAAGTTAAATTAATTAGGTATTGGCCTAAGTGTTTATCTAATTCTGCATTAAGTATTAACTAGTCCTGTCCTAGGCCTATACCATTACAGTAATTAGCCTATTTATTTTAATTCAGTACATTTAGATGAACACAATCATTTAATCATTATGTTTGATTAGGACTCTACATTAATTTTTTAGCTATATTTTTACACGTTTTCAGTTACAGTAATGTTTTTATTATTTTTTATTTTTGCCGAAACTATTCTATTTCATACAAGCACTAGTCTAGATCTAGATCTTGTAAAAATAGTCACATAGTGAAACATTGTTAAATGGTTAAGAATAGATTTAGATTAGTTCAGGTATAATTCTCCATCAAGTAGGCCTATAAATATATTTAAATTAATATAGGCCTATGTATTGTATATATCTATAACTAGTCCTATACAATAATATAATTTTATAAAGCCCTATGCCCTTAGATCTCTTTATTAAGGACAATTTTAGTACTTGATAATTTTATTAAATTTAATATTAATTTAATTCTAGACTTGTGTGCCTACAACTTGGTGTAAAGGGGATCGCTAATGCAATCATAAACTTGGTGGCTGAGATAAAGCGGCTGAGGAGAACAGAGGCTTGTGAGTGGAATAGGTTGGTGGAACTTGTGTACAGCCCTTTCTATGTTCAACAAATGTCTCAGGTGGAAGTACATTTAGTAAGTATGGAGACTGAATTTATTTCAAATTTTTATATTTATTTTATATACTTTGCAATATGTTGTGCTAGGTATATATTTTGTGAAATGGTCTCCTAAATTCTAATTCCATTTGCCCTTCTCTTTTCAGGTACAGTTTCCATAGAGATCCAGCTTTATTCAAGGCTCATCTTAAAGAGAATGATGTGGCTGCTGGGACATAACTTAAGTCTACATTCAACTGCTTGCAGATCTCAAGAAGCCTGGGGTTCTCGTGCAGCACCGCAAGCACTCAGGCTGATTGGGAAGTTAATTTCTGGTCCTTTGATAAAGATCATTTACAAGAATGCAATGTGGCAATCAAATGTAGATCTACTCTGTTTCTTAAAGTCATGGAAGCGTTGACAGTTGACTTCTACTGAGCCTTTCTTGGTGCGACAGCTGGAGAGGTATCTGACGGGAAATCTGATTGGTGTCCAGCTGACTCATAAGTGGAAGCTAGGTGATCAGGGTGTGTCGCAATACAGTGGAAGGACTATCAAAAGGGTGCCAGAAACAAAACAAAAGTCAGCTCTTTACACCATAAGCTACTGGGCAGAGGATGAGGATAATTCTGAGGATTTCAGTTATCTGGCAGAATCACTGGTTGTTGACTTTGTAGGAATCTTGTTTTTCTTTCTGAATAATAGCTTATCAGAATTTCAGAGTACTTCTTTCATTTTTAGTATACAAATGAACTTTATTTTTTAAACATTAGTGTTTTAGTAAATTGTTACTGAAAAAATGATTGCTCTGAATTGTAAATTTATTTTGAAAACTAATACTAACGTTTATAATTAAGTTTAGTTTTCATAGTGTAAAAAAAATTACATTTTAATTAATTACTTAACTAATTTTTCAGGGTAATTGACATCAGCTAGATAATCCTAGAATCAGTAGTTAATGTGCTTCAAAAATGTTGGTCCAAACTAATTTATCACACAAGTACTAACGCTTTTTAAAATATATATTTTTTCCTCAGATGTGCTAATTGTATCTAAAGATTAATTATAATTGATACTTTAGAAAATTGTTTTAACACTAAAGAGACTAAAGTGGTCCAAGAAATTTTTCGACACCTATTTTTTTTCCAGCATACATTCAATGAATGGTTAGATTTACTAGTAATTATACTTTAAACCAATATTTTAATGTTTATTCCTGGATAATTAATACTATACTACTTTTCTTCTTAAGAGGGATCGTAATGAGACGAGGCTGATTTCTTGTACTGTAGATTTGTTTCTTCACACTAATTATGATTATGTAACTGTTTTACAGTACTGTGAAGGTCGTAGATTATACAAGGGCTAAATTTAGGTTGTCACTATGTAGTTTATTTCTTTGCTCTGATAAACATATTTTTAAATTATTGCAAAAAAATCTGTTTTTTTTACTTTGCCATTCTCCTAAATGTTTCTATTTTATTAGACAAAATTAAAATTCATGTGGTAATCTGATTACTGTATTTTAATACTGTGTTTCTCACATTCTAATAATTTACATTGCATAGTTTAGTAGTAATAAACACTGGTACACACTTTGACAGCTGTTTTCTTTTATTTTGTTCTATAATTTTATTATGGCCTCCTGATATAGACACTGAATATCAAGTAAGTGGGGGGGGGGGGGGGGGGGGAGAAGGGGGGCTGAGAAAGTAACGTAAAGGCAACTTCCATTTATCATGTAGTGTGTGTATGTAGGTCTACTCTACTTCATCTACCCAAGTAATATCGTTCATTACAATTAGATTAAAGAACTTGTGCAGTAATATGTGCTTATGCATTTCTATTATATAATAATAGTAGTAACAGTATTAAATATTAATAAATCGATTTACAATAACTAGATCTAGTTTATTTTAAACCTAGATCTACATTATTTTTTTTACACGGAGTAATAAGTCAATAATAATATATGAATGGCATTAAATTACTCATTCAAATCACATCCAGTCCAGTATAACTTAGACTTTAAGCTTGATTGTAATTTTTTAGTTTTTAAAAAAATGCGAATCCCGGATGATGCAATAAAATTATAATTTTTTAATTTTTCGAAAAATGCGAATCCGTGATGATGCAATGAAAAAACCATCGGTGCCAACTTTTTTGCTTATGTAACATTGACTTGAATGACGAAGGTCTAAGCTGTTTTAGCCACGCCCACAAATTTTTAAAAGGCCATATCTTAGCTCCTAATTAAGCTAGAGACACAAAATTGGTATCAATGTGTAGGGAAAAAAATCCTGTTTTATTGTGATATAATTTTACTTGAAATTAGTGGAGTTTAAAAAATACGAGGTTTTATATTGGTCGTAAATAGAAAGGCTAAGAAATTACATTTGGTTGTAATGTTGGCTAAAAAATTAAATCTGGCAACTTTTCAAAAAGAATTCATTGACTTAAAGAATAATGCAAATTGTTTTACAAACAGAGGTTAGTGTTGTTTATTATTTTGTCGTATTGTGTTATGTATGATTGGGCAATGTAGCTCTACGTGAAGCATAGATATTACCTGTGTTCGACAAAGAACTCTTCCACAAAAGCAGGTTATGTTGCAAGTAGTATATCAATATCAGTTTTAGGGTTAGGGTCAGAAATTACGGTTAGGGGTTTAGTAGGACTCGAGTTAAAGGTTGTATTAGGAATAGGGTTGGTGTTGAAATCAGCAAGTCATGATTGTGTTTGGTTAACTACCAGTAACCAGACGCCTCTTTTTAAAAAGATTTCATTACTGCGGCACAAGCAGACACGAATTTAACACATATCCCCGCCCGTAATGTAATATAAAATTAGTTATTCTCATTAATGATACATTTCTGCTATCAATTATGTATGGTTAATTGAGTACCTAGACAACTGCTATACCGTGGCGTAGCGAGGTCGGGTGTCACCCGGTGCGGTCCGCACCCCCCCCCCCCTCGCTACGCCACTGTTGCTATACATTTTTATTTTATTTTAGACACACTTTAGGAGAGTTCTACAATGATGTGATTCCCAAAGTTTATTATAAAACACAATTGTGATATATTTAAATCGTATAGTGGCTTGGTATGTAAATTATTTTTATATAATAGGGGGTTGTGGTCTAATGAAATGTTATATAAATTTATAAGGGGTTGTGTTGTTGTTCAAAAATGTTAATCTTTTTTATGTTAATGATACAATAGCACGATCCCTAAGTGGAATATAAACATTGAAATAAGAACTAATTTTTTACAACTTTGCGTAGAATGTTAATGGGATGGAATAGAGAGAGCCATTGTCTTACACATGTTAGGAGATACGACCAAAGGCCTATGCTGCATGTACTTATCTCCCAGTGTGCGTAACGAGGCGGAGAGTTCAAACAAAGGTACGCAACCGGCTGGAGATAACTCTTGGGCCACAGGAAAGAGCAGATATCAAGGACCAGGACTAGGGCAGATTAGAAATACCTGCTGCGATACCTGGCCACTTGACATTTGGGATAGTAGATCAGCCTCCCCGCCCCTTACCAACGTACATTCTTGGAAGTTTATTGTAAGTCGAGTGTAGGTGTTCTCATTACGTTTATTGTAAGTCTGTATTAAGTTGAGTGTAGCATTTCTCATTACGTTTATTGTAAGTCTGTATTAAATCGAGTGTAGGTGTTCTCATTACATTTATTGTAAGTCTGTATTAAATCGAGTGTAGGTGTTCTCATTACGTTTATTGTAAGTCTGTATTAAGTTGAGTGTAGCATTTCTCATTACATTTATTGTAAGTCTGTATTAAATCGAGTGTAGGTGTTCTCATTACATTTATTGTAAGTCTGTATTAAATCGAGTGTAGGTGTTCTCATTACGTTTATTGTAAGTCTGTATTAAGTTGAGTGTAGCATTTCTCATTACATTTATTGTAAGTCTGTATTAAATCGAGTGTAGGTGTTCTCATTACTTTTATTGTAAGTCTGTATTACGTCGAGTGTAGCATTTCTTATGACGTTTATTGAAAATCTTTATTAAGTCGAGCATAGCATTTCTCATTACATGTATTGTAAGACTGTATTAATTCCAGTATTTCCCATGAGATTTTGAAGTTTTGCTTCATAATAAAACAATGCTGTTTTTAAATGACTGGAAAAATTAAAAGGCCAATCATTAACACATAAACAATATCTTAAATTATAGTTTTCACTCGGAATTTTAAGACGTTATAAATTACAGTAAGGAATTTTGGGTTTGCGTTCGATATCATTATTTAAATAAGTGGGATCTAATGTATCCCTATGTACCGAGAGACACAGAAAACACGGGTACAACATACAGGTAACAGCAGAATACAGGTAGCAACAGACACAGTATATAGGTAGCAGCAGCTACACTATGCAGGAAACTAAAGCTACAGCATGCGGGTACAATAGCCTCAAAATATAATAAACATAGCTACAACATAAAAGTAACAACAGCAATATCATGCAGGTAATAACACTCATGATAGCCACGGTTACACAACTGCAGGGTCGCTGGTTTAGTCATGAACTGCTGTCCACCATAACTCTCGTGTAGGATGTTCTTTAAAACGAATGTAGGCGCCATAGAATTCATGTGTGGGTACGAACGCTGCGTGTCACCCGACGCCAATGGCTCAGGAGAATATCCATCGTGCAGTTTGCCCTTTGAACGTGTTGATATCGTGGCCCTCAGTCGCATATTACCACCGGGCTGAGCCCCTCGGATATCTACAAATGTTGTATATCAGAGTCCTTTGTGTGGTGTATAAAATACAAAGGGAAACAATTCAATCAACATGCTGGTAAAAACCTAACCCTAACAACTGTGTTGCGAAGTGAGTTTCGGTACACAAGGGTCGACGCCGAACGTGACGAACGAGGTATAGATCAAATATAGATGAGACAAGATGGCTTGATCCATTTCTATAATTTTATTACATTAATCCATACAGCTACATCAACAGCAGACACAGAACGAAGACTTCCTAACACAACCTCACATTACGACGACAAGAACAAGACTAACTTCTAACTATCTTCCTAACAACCAAAAACATTCTCCCTTACGTCACATCTTTATTTCCTTTTTTACGCATACGTAATCTTCTATTAATACCACTACACACATACTCTCAAACCATCTACAACTTTACTAACTTCATTCAACTACACACATACTCTCAAACTCATTCAATACACTTAAGTCCATTCACAACATAACTCATTCAATACACATTAGTCCATTCACAACAAACTGGTCGAATATGTTACAAGTAGCCCAGGGCCCGGGCTCCAGTCAGAGGTGGGCTCCTCAGTCCGCTCGTGTTTGGGGTTACTAAGAAGATAGAGCTGACCATACAACCCCTACATATGTTGAGATAAGTATATTAACTCTACTTTTCTGTCTGGTCTAAAATGACACATAATTCAATACATACAATAAATGGTTCATATTATAAACCATTAGCAAGTATATTCTTTTTAACATTAAATTTACCTCGGCTAGAGAGATCACAAGAGTTGAGAAAAGAATTGTGAATGGCGGCGTTTTGATGTTAGTGTCTGTCTGTCTGTCTGTCTCTCTGTCTGTCTGTCTCTCTGTCTGTCTGTCTCTCTGTCTGTCTGTCTGTCTGTCTGTCTGTCTGTCTGTCTGTCTGTCTGTCTGTCACACAACTCCAATCAATCACAATTTTAAAGAAAAGTTATACACATTTCATTCAAAAATTTTGGCAGATAAAAATCACAGCAAGGAGATTTAGCCTCGCAACCTATATTTGCCCAGATGGTATTGACAACACCCGCCCGTACTAACTTAACGAATGGG